TATGGGGAGGTAATCCTTGCATTAGATTCCGGCCAATGTATGTGGCACTGTGGTCTTCATCACGAAGACACTGACGTTGATCGTCTAAAGGTGCGGTACTGCATTTACAGAGGCAGTGTAGGCCCTGTTGGAACCCCGAAAGCAGGAAGTTCAGCGTTTAGAGATGTCGAGGCTTCAGGTTGACTCGTCTTGGGTTCAAGGCTCCTGGTACAGATGGTGTAGTATACTTGGTATAGTTGCATGCGGGGTTTGCCGAAATACAGAATTGGAAGGCGGTGCCAGTGGTTAACCTCCAAAGTGGGACTAAGATCAAGGCTTCTGATGCAGGGGCCCTCGCGAGGAACAAGACGGCACCGATTGGCCCATGGCCCCGGTGCACCAGACTAATGAATATATGTATAAAGGTATGAATGCGAATCTATGAAGCAGAAGTAAGTAGGTAAAACAAGTATGTACACATATGCAGAAATACAACCAGGCAACACAACACCCCTCAGATTCACATACACATAATTGAACTACATCCATAAACTAGCTATCGGAATCACAGAAAGAGAAGAAAGTGTGGTTGGTTCCAGAAAGACCCACCATCCTCTACCCTCAGCCCTAGACTTTAAAGGAAGCACTCTAAACCCTGAGCTTTAAACGCCCTAAGCCGTGAAGCACTTAAAACCCTAACCTCCTAAACCCAAACCCTAAGCCCTAAACCCTAAAGCCCTGAACCTCTAAGCCCTAAACCCTGAAGCCCTTAAAACCCTAACCTCCTAAACCGTAAACCCCAAAACCACAAAACCCCTAAGCCCTAAACCCTGAATCCTAAACCCTAGACCCTAAACCCCAAAGCCTGAAAGCCCTAAAGCCCTAAACCCTAAAGCCCTAAAGCCCTAAACCCTAAAACCTCTAAGCCCTAAACCCTAAAGCCCTCAACCCTAAAGCCCTAAACCCCTAAAGCCCTAAACCCCGAAACAAGCAGCGTCTCCTGTGATCCGAAGCGCATCCGCGGCCATAGGCTCCGCATGCCGGACACCCGAAGCCCAGCCGCCTGGGCTCTTGCGTTGAGCGTTGGGACCTCAAAGGGATCCTCAAAGGGTTCCTTAAAAGGGCTCCGTAAAGGGGTCCTTTAAGGGTTCCTTACAGGGGTCCTTAAAGGGCTCCTTAAAAGGTTCCTTACAGGATCTAGGGTTCAGGGCTTGAGGTTGCTAGGGCTGTGGAATTAGAATAGGGCTTAGCAGCTTCACTTGCCGGCTCGCACCTGCAACGCTGTCTGAGTTCCTGGCGCGAGCTCGCTACAGATGTCTTCGAGAGTGCTGGCGCCACCTTGCTGAAGCTACGGGAAGACGTGGCGTGGTTGGAGTTAAGTTTCGGGGCAGAGTCTTTGGAGGTCTAGGCTAGGAAGCCTTCCGTTTCTCTCGTGCGGCACGGTTCGCAGTATCTGGCAGCCGCTCGAGCGTGCAGCAAAATCTTCAGGCTCCTAGACAGATCAAGCCAAGACCGAGACTGATACCCCAAAACCCTGCAAAGTTGCTGAGTATGAGTTCAGTATCAGAAACGGTTGATGATATAAATCCTTTATTACCTTAAGGACCCTAAACTATGGGAATTATGGTATATTCCCTATTATGGGTAATGAAGGGTTTACAGCATCAACAGAAGTATGGGTCAAATCCAAGATCCGAAGCTCCAAAAAGCTTGGGCAAAGGATTCCTCCCAGATCCGCCGGGCCGAGAAGCTTTCGCACCGCTCTTGTACACTTGAACACAAAACATCCGAAACAACGCGCCAGGCTCCTTAAGGACGAAATGAACCCAAACGGGTTTATGGTTCAAGTTCATATACCATATAGGGATTCATAGTCTATGGGTGTAGGGCCCCTACTTTTAAGGGTCATTTGGTCCTTCAGGTTCTGGAAGGGTGCAGCTCAAACCAGATATTCTATTGGAAGGCCACAGGTCGGGAAAAGGCTTCGAGGTGCATGTTCGTTTGCGTCCCTAAACCCTAAACCCTAAACCCTGCACAGGAACCATGAGGCGATGAGAGTACTAATCATTCGGATCTTCATGCTACTAAGCCCCCAATCCTTGAGGCTATAAGGGCTCGTATTTACAGGCGTTGTCGTTATCAAACATACTGTACCCGGTAGTCCCTTGAGCCCAAGCGTAGACAAACAGAAGGTACCAGTATCTCAACCTTTCACTGCCCAACAGCCCGAACCCTTAAACCCTTAAACCGAACCCCCGGCAAGCCTCCTTCAAGGCGCAAGCGCCCAAGCTTCTTGGAAGCTCCTCCAGCGGCAATTCGGCAGCACCCGCGCGTCAAACCGCAACCCCAAATCATGAAGCTTATAATCCTAAACCTCAATTTCTGAAACCCTAAGCCCCAAAAACCTATAGTCTGAAACCTAAACCCTATGCCTCCAGGGACCTGTTTATCGGGTCCTTAAGGGGTCTAGGGCCCTAACTGTGAGGTCCTTGGAGGGATAGGGTAAATGAACCCCAAAGCCTTAAGCTCAAACCGACATAATGAACCTAAAGCCGGAAGACTAAACCTGGAAGGTAACGCCTTCAAGGGGCCGTTCGGCTTCACAGTGTTAAGGTTTTATCTCTATAATTATAATAAAGAACCCCCGAAATAGTGTTGGTAATTATTAAGGCCCCTATATCATAGTATCCTTATAGATCCCTTGCAGTAAAGCTTCTTGGGGTTTGTAGGGGGCGAAGAGCTGGAAACAACCCCTCCCGGAGATGCCTTGGCGAAGCCCACGACCTGTGCAAGAGCGAATCGCTCTTCTAAAAGTCCGGGTGTGAAAAGAGGCAAACGTTTAGAGTTTAGGGTTCATGGGGGTGTGTTAGAGTATGCGTGAAAAGGGAGAAGGGCTTAAGTATAGGGTCCATGGGTCCCTAATATAATACGGCACCAAATATTTAGGATTCCCAGAAAGGGACCCTAATTTTGACAACTACTGATGGAGGTATTTCAGAGTATAGACTGGGGACTGTACACAGGGATACCTCCTGAGCATGACACCGTGAGGCTGTAGGGCTGACAGGGAGTACCTAGGGGCGTGAATAGTTGGAATAGGGTTTTGGGGTAATCATATAATATTGTACTAGCATGACAATATTTAAGCGTCGCGGTACACTTGGGGGGGGAACGAGATAACACCTTCAATGGGTCAACCAGGCAATCCCACTTTTTCTGCGAATCGCGCTGACATGAACTAACCTCGCAGTCTGTAGCTCTTCTCCGTGCTGGCTGTAGGCATGGACACCGTATACAACGACTTATAAGTAAAAGCTGACAACACGATGATCTTCGAAACCGAACCCCTCATCGCCCGAAACCTTTGACATCAGCACAGCCCAGAAGCCAAACATGTGAGAATGCCACGAAGGGCCCAAGAGCTCACGGACTAAGCCGCCTGGCTCTAGACGCTCTACGGAACTCAACCCCTTGTCCTTTGAACGAGGGCAGGCTGGGAGGACCTTCACGAACAGCAGTCGCGAGGACGGTCCAGACTACGACTCTTGAAGAGTGCGGCAATGACCCTGCTATTGCTCATCAAGGGCAACGCTACCTCTTGAGACAGGCCACATTCCGCGAGATGAAGCTTCGCGACAAGCACGTATATCTTGGAGACTCGGCTCAACGCATAAAACGCATTCAGCCGGCTCGAAAACTAGTGAGGAAGCCTCACAGTGAGAAGTCACAAGGTGACCATCCCGTGTTGGACCCGTGCGGTGGAGCTTGCTTTGTCAAGTCCACGTCTGCAAGATCCGGGCTCCTGCTAGAATCACTACCGGCTTGATGCTTTTGTACATGCGTCTCTGGTTATGTCGGAGCTGAAACAATGCAGTAATGATGCTGGTAGTGTTCATAAACTGGCACGCTGACTTGAGACAGCCTGGAGTCTTCGGGATGTGGCTTCACCTCAATGACCCAAACAAACGCAGAATGGGAACAGGCTTATCGCATCCAGTGTGTGCGGCCGGTCCGACAAATCAGCCGCACAGCCTCGCCTCGCAGTAAGAAGTCAGAACGTCGACATCCCTAACTATATTCACCGATTGCTCGCTGCTTCATGTACTTGCATCACCGCGGGGCTGAGGCAGTACAGGTGTGACCCTGGTATTGTTCACCAAGGGCCACGCTATCTTGAGACGGCCAGCGTATTCTTCGGGAAGAAGCTTCGCAAAACACACATTGCATGTTGGGGGCTTATATAATGTAATGTAATAGTTAGAATATAGTACAGTGTGTTCAACCTGTCCGAACAATAGCGGCGAATCCTCACAGTGAGAAGTCACAAGGTGACCATGCGGTGTTGGACCCCGTTTGATGGAGCTTGCTCTATGAGGTCCGTATCACATGTTGCCAGAATCACCTACATATATGGGACCTGTCGATAGCTGCGTCTTGCATTTGTGACATTTGCTACGTCGGAGGCGCTTTAGTTTTGACCTTTTTGTTTCTACGCGTTTCGTACGGGTCTTCACGAGGGTTTCACCACTTTTCCTACTTCGACTGACTGCAGTGCCCGCAGAAATCTTCGGATTTGATTTGTTCGCTGGCCTGTCGGAACTTCGCGGTTTCCAGTGTAGTTTTTCCTGCCGCAAGTTTACGCGATCGAACTCGTTGCTTTCAGAGCTTGGGGGACAGGGTGTCAGGAGGGTTGGGTCGAACGGCTTCGACTTCTGCCGGAGTAAACGCCTTCAGATCGCTGGGCGGCAGACTGAAATCCAAAACACAATGGGTTTGTGCTCCACATGTACGCGCAGCATGCGGGCAGAATCATGCTGAATGACCATGACAAGGAACAGACCATTTTCATGACTTGATGATAGGCGTGAGGTGAGGATCATGCTCAAGCAATTGGGCCAACCATAGCTACATAGACACGAAGCTATCCTTGCCGTCATTCTGAACCCGGTTATGGCACATGGAAGGGTCCAACCACACCGTGCTTGAAGTCCGTACTTTCTCGCTCTGACATGGTCCTGGGACTAGCAGCTAGATGCAAGCTCATCCGGAGGTTTGCCAGCCACACTGGCAGCGGAGCTCTCGCCCACCTCCTTTCCGATCGAATCCAACATCTGTGCTGTTTGTCCGGCCTGAAATCGGAGGGCCAACCATGATATTCCAAAAAGCACCGCTGAACCTGTTGTGACTCACTCAGAAACGATGACTTACAGACATAGCCTCTTGGGTTTGTGTTCTACTAGAAATTAGGCACTGCTTCCCAAGATACTATAGGGGCCTGAATAAGTGGAATAGGGTTTTGGGGTACTATAGTCATAACAAGGAACCCCTAAAACAATATAGGCGATTATCAAGGTCTCTATCCCTGGGGATCAAAATAGCCCCAAAGCCTTATATAGTATGGTCTTTGGGCCCAAAAGCCTCAATATATGAGTCCTTAGAGCCCTATAGGGTATACTGTATGCTACACCCAGGAACCGCCCATCCATAGAGATGCCGAAAACACATCCGCCATGAGCCACGCAGTCCAATTGCCAAGGAAAGATAGCCTTGGCTTCCCCTGTAGCCTTAACGATAAGGGTCCGAGTATCATTATGGTATATACTTATAGGGTATTTTGGGGTTCTAAGTATATACCATAATGATACTTGGACCCGTTGGGTTAACGATACCCTGTAGCCTATGCCTCCAGGGACCTTATTATGCAGTCCTTAAGGGGTCTAGGGCCCTAACTATGAGGTGCTTGGAGGGATTGGGGTAATTAGCCTTAACGATAACGGCACCCTTGTCCCACGAGTTGAATAATTACGGAAATCGGGAGCTTAAACGACAAAGAGCACAAGGAGTACTCCTGGCGAACCTAGTAGCAAGGTCACCACAAGGGCCACCCCAACGCTTTTCAGCCTGTCCTGCCACACACTGCTCTGCTCTCTGCGAAAATGTCTCGCTAAAATCAATGCCACCTGAAAGACGAGGGGAATCAGAAGGAAACACCAAGTCAGGCTGGCCAAGCACAACATTCCAGCCACTTTCCAGTTTCCGCCCCGCCCACGTGCCGCGATGAGATCTGCGAATCCCCAGAAAAGAGGCAAGGCACCAATGACTTGCCATCGATACGGGAACAACAATCCACCCAACTGACGGTATAACATGTGCCTGACATGCGTTCTTACAGTAGCCTCGAAGGCCTCAACAGATCCATACCAGATGCGAATGCATCGCGCGATGACCGCACGATCGCAGACTTCGGCAGTACACGATTCTTCGTCAATGCAGCAGTGACAGTGCGCACCTTGAACAGTAAAGTCGGCGAGCTGCTTGAGCATAATCTCTGTGTTCCGGTAGTGCTCACGCAAGTAGGAGGCTGCCAGGTAGAAGCAGAACCACCGTGACAGCACGAGTGCCAGCGTTTCGAAAGCAGTGTGCTCTTCCACCAAGATCCAGTGTAGCATAGAAGCCCATAGGGCAATCCCAAAACCCAAAATGCAAGGGGCCATGGCCGTCAGCCTGACAGTAACTTTCTCACGTGGCCTTTCATGACTTGTGAGGAAGGCAGCCAGCTCTAGTAGGCACCATAATCTCCCGGCATACGTGCCTTAGTTGCTGAGTTCATAAGCCCCCAAAAATGTACACTTTCAGCTTTATAGTGGGTATAATGTTATCCCAAAGAGTGTAAAGTGTATCCACTCAGCTACTAAGGTGCTGTCCCAAACGAGGAGAAACTGCTCGGAGTATTTCAAGAAGGCGCCAATGCTCAGGATTCCATTGCCTTTCAGCTCTGTATCCGTCTGATGGATGCCTAGGTTGCCCCGCTGAAGCCGCTCAGAAATATTCGTAATTACATAGGACCCGCTTAAGCCCGACAAGAGGAAACAAACAAAAAGCTGCTAAAGGCCTACCTAGATACATACTTGGTCAAGGAAGACTCGGCTAGTGGATCTCCATAGGAGAAGGACGGCTGCGAAAACGAACCCTGCCGTGAGCATACACCAGGGGGCAAATACCAACTCCACTCCGTGATCGAATAATAATATGCTAGCTCGCGGGAAACCTGGTAGTAATCCTGCGATGTGCAAACACATCATCAGCAAAGCTGAGATGGTGGCGGCGATGGCTGCAGCAGGCCCATTGTACAGTAAAATCAACAGGAGCCTCTTCATGTAGTTGTTCCCATGCCAGCTGTGGCTCCAGAAAACTTGGATCGAACTCACAGGAAAGCTCCGTTCATACAGATCCGTGTTGGTCCATCTCAATGCCGCACCGAAGGATTGCAGCACTCGCCAGGCGGAAGTTGCTCTGAGGATGCTAGGATCGATAGGCTCCATCTTGGCCACCAGGCTGGCAAAGTGGGCCACCGTAGGGTCTTCCGCGTCGCTGAGCCCAACTTCCCCGGTAGATTCCATGGGCTCTTGGGAGGTGGCCATAAGACGTGTGCTGCAGCGTCAAAGTTCCTGAAAAGCCCCTTTACCCTAGTTTTTTTATTACTCAGGATTAATAAGGGGACCCTAAAACAAAAAGGGCAAAAGGGTCCTCTCTGCAACTGGTCCGGCCTATATGCTTCTACAAGCCTATACACGCAAAGGCCTCCTAATTTGTGGATTGGCGCAAATATCTAAGGTCCGTCTGTGCTGCAGGTATCCTTGATGTCCTGCATGTTGCGAAGGAGACATTTCAGAGCAAGCTTTGGTCTCGAGCACAATGGTCACACGATCCAAAATCGAAACCCTGAGTCCGGATCTGCAAACCTTGAAGGCGGAATCTCTAACCACCAAAGCCACCAAACATCCCTAAATCATCCTATCCAGCGGAAATCTTCAACCTTAAGCTCTGAACCATAAAGCCTTCGACCGCGAAGTCACCGAGATTTGCCAGCCCACAGGTTTGCACTCGTCACCAGGCTCTTGGCAATCCCGTAGCAGTTCCTTCTGGGGATTTCCTTTTCGGATCCTAAGTATGAAAGGAAGCACTATGGGGCCCATGGGTATGAATGTGTACCCCTTCACCGACCAGGCAGTCGTTGATAAACATCCATGTCCTCAACTGCTACGATGACTCTTTCATGTCAATCCCCAGGCCCTAGACATCCCTAAACTAAACCGAAGACCCTAAACCGAAGAACCTGAGCTAAATCGGAGGCCCTTGACGCTAAACCCTCCCTCACAACCCTTTGCATCTCACACGAAGATCACAATATCGCCGGCAATGGTTGATCTAAGATGGAGGCGAGGATGATGACAACATAGAGTGAACAAGAATTTTCTAGAGAGATTTACGAAGGAAGTGTTTGTAAGTTTATGACGGGGGCCGTAATGACTAGACCAGAGTGTTGGGGTGTACCATGGTATCAGTAGAAGGGGGCTATATGGAATGGGAATGCGAGCTTCAACTGTTGCACCCCCTCCTTTCATGCCAACAAGTTGACAATGCCCGAAACTGGAACGAAACAGTGACATCCTGGCCTGCAGCGCCAGGTAGGACAGAGCCGACCTAGACTGCAATAGTAATGGTAAAAATCGCAATAGTAATAGTAATAGTCATCGTGACGGTAATAGTAATAGTAATAGTAATAGTACTAGTAATCGTAGTAATAGCAAAAGTGATAGTAGTTATAAGGAGCTTTCTATACCGGTTTGCCCATCCTTTTGACCTTTGACTTTGAGTAACCTCGCAGTGAGGGGCAGGCTCTTCCTTGTCCAGTCCTAGCTGGAGCACCCCAAAAAAAAGGCAGGGGCCCAAAATCTGTCTGCTCGAGTTTGGAAAGTCCCGTGGAGCTTTCAATATAGGGCTGAGGGTGTAGGATCTCGGGTTATGACCTAGGGTTCCCGATTTCGGGACGAGTCTCGTATCCTAAACCCTGGATGTTTTACACGACTACTCACTCCCGTGCAAATTTGATACCTTTCCTGGAGATCATTGTATTTGTAATCATACTTCAACGACCAAAGTTGACACGAAAGTACCCACGAGGCGTGCAGTTTCTAGAGTTCGGCCCTGGAGCTTCTCCCACAATCGGCTAAACCACAGGCAAGACGCGGCGTACTCCGCCACAACAGTGCCACCCCGCGACGCCCAGAATTGCATAACGGCCTTCTGTGCAGCGGACAGGAGACTTGTGTATGGAAGCATCGACAACGAATCAACGAAACTCCTGATGTGGCTAATAAGTGGTGAACCGAAGTCCGCGGTCAATTGAAGGTGAGGGTTGCAAGGTTGTTAAGCAGGTCCAGAGGGTCAGAGTGTAATCAGGTTGGACACATAAAATGCCTATTGCAGCCAAAGTTCAGCTACGGGTCTATGAAGCGAAACAGTCAACCTTGCTTCTCTTGCAAGGATACCATGTACTGAATGCACTGGTGATATTGAGCCATGAATCCTAAAAGTCTCAACACTTTGATCCTGTGCCCAAAACCCCTTAACCTAGACCCCCAAACCCCTCAGCCCCACCGCCGAAGCCCCCAAGCCCTAAACACAAAAAGCCCAAAGCTGAGTCCTCGACAAGTCCGAAACCCTAAGCCCTACATCTTTAACCTGGAAGACCAATTAAGCCTAACATAAGCCCTGGACTTTTGAGTAACAAGGGAGAAAAAAGTATAACCTTTTATTTCATAATGGTTCCCTTAAGAAAAAAAGTATTAAGGTATGGTACTCCAAAGCCCAGAAACCTACTAAACCACTGAGACCCCAGACCCGCAACCTTCAACCCTAAACCCCAAACCCTCTACGACAGACCCCAAGCTCTAAACCTCCAGACTTCCGCACCACACCAAGCCCGGAACCTAAACCCTAAACCCCCTAACATAGAGGCCTTAATGATTAGAATAGGGTTTTGGGATACAGTATACTATGATTATGAAAGATTAATCTTATAGTATAATAAGAAACGCCCAAATAAGTAGAATAGACATTATATATAAGGCTCCTATATTGACTCCTCCCTGAACCCCAAACCCACGACCTTCAACTCTGCCCGCTATCTTCGCCTCGGCCACCTCCTCCACATCCACGGCTTCACATGGCGACAGAGCGCCGGAGAAGGGCTCCTTGGAAGCTTCAAAAGGGGGGTTTAGGGTTTAGGGTTTAAGGGTTTAAGGGTTTAAGGGTTTAAGGGTTTAAGGGTTTAAGGGTTTAGGGTTTAGGGTTAAGGGTTTAGGGGTTTAGGGGTTTAGGGCTTAGAGGTTAGGGGTTTCGGGTTTAGGGGTTTAGGGTGTGGCGTTTACTGCTTAGGATTTTAGGGGTTTAGGGTCTACAGTAATCCCCATAAAGTTGGAAACCGGATTCAAACCAAATAGTGTTGCGGGTTGCCTATACATTACTCTTAAGGATTGAGGCTTATTGGGTTTCCAACTTCTTGGCTTCTACTGTGTAGGGTTTACGGGGTTAAGTCTTTCTGGCCTAGGGCCTGGCCATGCAGCGCACAAACCACTCAACAAAAACAGAGACTCGTCAACACGAAACTCTGAACAGCAGCAGCCCCAAACTTAAGCCTAAACCCCATAGATCCCTTTTAAGGAACCCTATAGATCCCTTTAAGGAGCCCTTTAAGAGCCTTTATTAAGTCCCCTAAAGCCCCTCCAAGTATAGGCGACATCCGAATCAAAATCTCGGCCCTGGACACTTCATTCTAAATCATGACGTATCCTTTCAAGCAAAACACACCTGAACTCAGAAAATTAGGCCTGAACCTGAAGCAACATACTCTCAAGCTTAACCCCGATCAAGATACCATTCTTACACCCTGAACCCTCACATTCAACCGAGAGCCCAATCACAATACTTACCAACGCTGTTTTGGGGGTTCCTTATTGTCACTGTAGTATACCCTAGAGCCCCCAACTACTCTGATATACCCCGGATAGCCACTATTAAGTGTCATAAGGGCTCCATTAAAGTGCCATTGGGGGGTCCTGGTATTTTATGCCAAAACCCTATTCTGATGATTGAACCTCACGCCTCGGCCCGGCCTAGAACAACACAGAAAACCCATCAGGACCCCACCCCGAGCACCCAACAACTATAAACCCTAAACGCCTACAAGCCCCTAAACCTAAACCCCTGAACCCTAAACCCCAAAACCCTAAACCCGAACCCCCACCCCTCCCCCTCACCTATGCAGCAAAACAACACGAACTTACTGGGAGCCCATGCCTCACTCTGAGTGGCCTTGCAGAAGAGCCTGCTCTTCATACGATCTTAACGGATCCGCTTGTTAAGGGATGTAAGGTGAAGGGTGCAGGAGCCCGGGGCTAAAGTTGCTAAGAGTGAAGATACGGGGTTCTCTGGTGTGGTGCCCCATTCTCCAAAGATCCAGGCGCTGCCTAAAGGGATCACACTGAGCTTCAACATGTTGAAGAAGCCAACGGAGGGTTTTAGGTTGTGGTTTAGTGGCTGGGGCCCCGGGGCTTAGGCTTTGGGATGTTGACCCGCGCATTTTTTCAGAGCAAACAAAATGACCCGGCACACTGTCCCACGTCCTTGGTACCCATGCGAAAAAACATATGTATATACATACATACATACTTACATACATGCATACATGATACTAGTGAGCCTACATAAACGAGGCTGTGTTGCTACACACAGTGTGTGTATATACATATAATATCTGTTTCATGCATTTAATTAGTTTGTCTACTTATTTATTCATTAGCCACAGAAATGAAAGGATAAACGTTCCGATTCCTACTAAAGAAGAAGACCCCATAATGTTTAAAGGTTGGGCATTGGGGGGTCTAAGTTATCAAAGACATAGACCTCTCCATCTTGAACTCTCAATTCGAGAGACAGAAAATTTAGGTACATCCTAGAGCCTACATGAAGCCTTGCCTACTTACAGCCTTATAGACCCTGGGGGTGAAGAGTTTTAGTTTGTGGATTAAGGACCCAAAGCCCAACACCCTAAACCCAATGCCCCAAGCCCTAAACCCGATACCCTAACCCTAAACACTGTACCCTAAACCCTCAACCCTGACCCTTAACACTGCATCCTATAGCCCTGAACACTGTACCCCAAAACCCTAAACCCAAAAGCACCTGAGGCGGCCAAGCACATCCAGCAGCTCCCAGCCACGACTTTGAGCCAAGGACTCCGGCCTGAGCCGGGGTTATTAAGGTTAAAAGGACCCACTATGTAAACAAACCCTAAACCCTAAATCCCCAAAACCTATAGATCCCTTAAAGGAACCCTATAGTACCCTTTCAAGGATCTTGGGTACAAGGTTGAAGGTTTAGGGTTTTAGGGCTTTTCGCGTTGAGGGTTTCAGGGTCTGGGATTTCGGTGTTTTGGGGTTGTTAGGGTTTTTTGGTTTAAGGCTTGGGGTTTATGGGGCTTGTGGCTTTGTCTTTTTTGGGTGTTGGTTGACTTAGGTGTAGCGCCAGTGTAGGGGTTAGGGCGACCTGAGCTCAGGGTATTGGGTTTGTTTCTAGT